AATGAGAAAAACGTTTCATTATATATCACTTTATTGGAAGTCATAATCTCAACCATATATACTTGTTCGGTGGGCACCAGTTCCCCATATTCTGCACCTTCCGACTCAACATCTATTGGATCTAACAATAGGTTTCTGTGCTGTTTATAGAAATGTTTTATTTGTATTAATAATATATTTAATAAATATAATTTTGTACGAAAAACATACAAAAAAGAAACCCTCCTCAATGGTTACAAATGACACGTTAAGCCGTAAATTACACATTATTTTCTCGACAATTGACAACAAAAAACTGTATAAATAAAACTTCGCATAAAATATAAAAATTAATTTGAAATGTTTACCCCGACAAATTATTTTGTTGAGTGTAGTAAAATTATACATACCTCTTTATTTCCAGCCAGTAAATAGTCAATGGTGAGATTACCGAGTGGTGGTAATTTAGTATTTGGACAATAGTAGGATTTTTGTGCGTCAAATAATTTGTGCTTAAAATATGTCAGTATATCAATATCCAGTGCCCTCGACACGTAGTCGTTATCACTCTCTTCACGCACTATAATGTTACCTAATTCCATACCTTGGTTAATTATTTGTGTAATTATTAACTTTTGAACTGATTGTCAAAAGTTCTAAACAATACATTTTGTGTGTGTAAAAAATGTCAGAAATATATTGATCGTATTTACTAGCATAGTAATTATTTTATATTCATTGGAAAATATAACTGAGCTACAATTTCACATCAATTATCTGTTCAGCATAAATTATTGGAAAATAAAGTATTGTTTTCTGATTAAACATATTATTTAAATCCTGTACTGTAATACATTTAATAGCACCCATAATTATGGGAACAGATACATTTTATAAAAATCAATCAATTGGTTTCCATTAATATAGTTATTTTAGTTAATTGTGAACGTCATAAAATACTGAACCTAACGCAAGGTTAAGGGTACAATCGTACCATTATATTATATTTACAATTTATAAATAATATACATGTATAATACGATATAAATAATTATATGAATTTATTGTACATAGTCTTATTAATAGTCTCGAAGAGTTTGTAAATTATGTGAATGAAAGTACTTATTAATATAAACCATAATATAAATAGATTTTATTTATAAAAATGCGAATTAACAAATACAATTATAAAATAATTGTTAAAACAAACATCAAATAAAACAATTAATTAATTAAAACAAAACAAAAATCACTCATTACTTAAGCGACGTGAATACCCTCTGAAAAGCGGTGGTCTGTGCGTATGGTATAGAGCAGGGACGCCAGTCTCGGGGACAGGGATTGGTGGTTTGGCGTTTCAATTTAGTCAAATTGACATTGGTCAGGTAGAAGATCACGAGTCGCTTGTGTATCGCCAATATCTCGGCCAACGTTTGTTGAGTCTGTTTATTGGGCTGTGCTTTGATAGACTTAGCGTCGTATTCATGTGTGTACCTAATATGTTATAAATGAACACGCTCATATTAATAATTACATGAGTCAACACTTACGTGCCTAATAATTTGCCACACAATTAAGTAAATACTGAAAACTTATCTAACTTTAATAAAATACTTTTTTTAAAAGTTTACTGTTAATTTATGAAATGCGATTTATTATTTATTAGGTTTATTATAATTATTATAATTATTAGTCATTACACCATTAGTTACTATTACTAATTTATGATAAGTCCAAATTCACTTACATTACTATGAACTATAGGTAATACATTGGTCAATATTATGTAAATAATTTAATAGTTAATAAATTATTATAAATACTAGCTTAATAATAGTTTTAAATTTAAACTAATTAACATTTAATTATATTGAAAATTCTTTCATTAAAATGATATAATATCTGTGTTTTATATACAATTTATTTAACCTACTGACCAATGTATTATCTATAGTTCATAGTAATGTATGTGCTTTTGGACTTATTATAGTTTGTAATGAGGCCACACATATACTATTTAAGGTATCCTAGGAATATCAAGGTGTTATATAATTACTGTAACAGCTCCTTAAATCCCACATGACTATCAGTCTCAGAAGCGGCAATGAGCTTGTTCACATAGTCATTCTTTATTCGCTCCATTTGCTCGACCACCCTGTTCATACTCTTGAACACCTTGATAGTCTTAGCCCTCTGTGTCCTATTCTTGCACTGATTCATCAACAGCATGACCCTCTCGGCGCCCATCAAACGCACCACAATCTGAATGTGATAGTTATCAGGGTATATAGTGTCAAAATAGTTGATAATCTGGTCGTTGGTTTGTACGGAATTGCTTTTGAAATAAATTAAATATAAGTTAATAACAAATGCTTTCTTATATTGTATAGACTTTCTGGACGGACACACAGTACTGTTGCAACTGGTCGTCCTCTTCAGGCCATAGTCTCCCGGAGTCTCCCAATCGGTACACATCTGACAGCAAGTCGTCGATCTCTTGGCACCCATTGCTTCCGTAGCCATACGTATAGCCCATTAAAACGAAAACTATTTTTTGGACAAATGTTTTGTTAAAATTAAGTTGTATTATAAATAGAAAATTAATTTGACAGATATATGGAGATCTAAATAAATTATCTTATAATAAGTAGTAACTTACAATTAATAAATAAATATAAAAAGGTATTCATTATGAATTTGTTTATTTTTATAATTTGTAAATATTAGTATTTAAAAATAATGTCAGTAATTAATTTTAAGGCACCCATATGCTTATATTCAATATATCTCTTAAGTTTATACGATAGGGCATCATTGTGGAAAGTATAGATAGTCGATATCGATACCTTTAGCAAGTAGTATATGATTGAAAAGCACAGGTTTCGATTAATATCGACTATCCCAATGAGCGCCTATCGTATAAACTTAAGAGATATGGTAATATATTGTACTAACTTACAAATAAAATATTAATCGTAATTAATATTAAAATATTTAAAATAATTAATACAATTTGAGTTACTACAGTAAAAGCAACTTGATAATAATTGAATTCATAATTAATTAAACATTTGCAAACAATTTTTATGAAAGATATTTATGTTTTACCAAGTTGGAAATTAAAAATAAATTTTATGATTTTATTTATGAATCTGTGAGCACTTCCGCATTGAAAGCATTGGCAGCAATGGAACCACCATCTGATACAAGACTTGCACCAGTTATAAAAGCAGCATGGTCACTGGCTAGATACAATATTGAGTCGCCAATGTCCTCACTCAAACCGGTACGTCCCACAGGCAATAGTTTGGAGTTACCCTCGTGAAGTTTATTAACATCACTATCTGATAAGCCCACAGCCGTAAAGAATTCTGTTTGAACTGGTCCAGGGCTAATTTAGAAAATATTATAATTAGCAATTATAACCAAATAATATTAGTTTTTAATGTAATTATAACATCTTATGACATGAAATTTTACTTGATGACATTAACGCGAATACGTTTGGGTCCCAACTCCGCGGCCATACATTTGGTGAACATATCCAGAGCACACTTAGCCACACAATAGGGTGTAAAACCCTGGATCTAATATGATAATTAGCAGTGTTATAAAATATTCAATAAAATATATTTCATTGGGGTTTTAATCTAATAATTATACGAACGACTCTCATGGCAGCGATACTCGAGATGTTGATAACATTTCCTTTAGTTTTCTCCAAATGCTCGACACATATATGCGTTAAATAGACCACAGAATTGAGATTTATTTGCATTACTTTCAGATAAGTCTCGTAGAAATCCTTATTATTAATGGATGTTA